CTCGCGCTGCGCGGGCTCGGCTCCGAGCCTCCGCGCGCGGCGGAGAAATGCCTGCCCCAGAAAGGGAAGGGGTGGGGAGAGCCGGGAGGAAGGGGAGCGCAGGAGCGGGACTTGAGGAGGGAGGAGGAGAAGATGGAGAGCAGGGAAGGCGGAGGAAGGGGGCGAGGGAGGGGAGGCAGAAGAAAATGATCGGTGGAAGGGAGGGACGGAGTTCTCAGCGCCTGAGCCCTTTACTGGGGTCGGACTGGCAGGTCCCTCGCCGGCCCAAGGACAAGGCTCGCCCAGCCTCACAGCCGGCCCCGCTGGCTTCCAGACCAAGGGCACGTAGAGGTCGGAGCCTCCCCAGAAGCCACACCTGGCCTGGTGGAGAAGGAAGGGACTCATGGCGCACCACTGGGTGCATCCGAGTGGGGTGGGCTAGGTCGGCCGCCACAGGTCACAGAGCATCCCTGCACCAGCGCCAGGTCCCTTTCTGGTCCATAATACCCTCTCCCAGGCCAGCGGGCTGGGCCCAGGTATCCCCAATTTAGCCAGGATGGTGAGCTCCCCTGGCCTGGTCTCCACATCCCTGCACAGAAAATCCTGTGTGCTATTGGTCTAGGCATAGGACCCAACCTGAGGTGGGTGGCCGAACGGATTTCCGTATGTTCCTGTCTCTCTTCCTTCACCCCTTCAAGTTTGACAATTAGAGTTGCTTTCCCACTTGTCTTGTAGCATTCTCTATGTGTTCTCCAACCCTAAAAACCTGGCCTCAGATGCCACGGTCTATAAAGAGGACCTCCAGACCCCAGCCTGACAACCAACCCCACACTTGACCACTGACTCAGTTGTCTTTCCCCAGAAAAACCAAAAGTGTATCAAGGTGTCCGTGTGAAGATCACGGTGAAGGAGCTGCTGCAGCAGAGAAGGGCTCACCAGGCAGCCTCGGGGGGAACCGTAAGCATAAACCCTTCACTTACTCCCGACTCTTCTTAGACCTCATTCAACCTGCATCTGGGAAGGTGTAGAGGCCACCCCAGGCCCCAGGCACCACCCCCAGACCTGCCTTCCTCAGCTGGTCTCATAAATTTGGTGCCCGGCTTCATCCTAGTTCACCACAGGAAGCCACAAAGAACAGCTGTGGTCTGTAGAGGGGCTCAGGATTTGGGGAGCCCATCCCTCACTGACCCTAATTGAGTAGGAAGGGCTTGCTGATCCTGTGTAGGGAGAGGAGTAGCCAGCAGGTAAGTAGGTTGTTACTCTGGTAGGAAGACAGTGGATGTGCCCTCCCAAATGCAAAGAACATCTCTCCCAGAAGAGTAGGAAGCCCTTCAAGGATAGAATCCCTGTGGAACAGACCCCTTCCCTCCCCATTCTTCTGGAACCCAGCCT